TGTGAGTGTATGTGAGTGTGTGTGTGTGTGTGTGTGTGTGTGTGTGTGTGTGTGTGTGTGTTGGGACATTCAGCTGTTGTGCAGATCCAGTGATTCTATTAAGTTGTCGGCCAATATATATCGGCCGATATTTGGCATTTTTTAATTATCAGCATCAGCCAATTTTTTTTGTTTGGCCGATACTTGCAGTTTTTGTAATTATTGGCTTTGGTTAGTTTTTTTTTCTTTGGATGATATTCAACATTTTTTAATTATCGGCATTGACTAATACTTTTTTGTTTTTCTATTTGGCTGATAGTTGCCATTTTTAGATTATCAGCATCGACCAATATGTTTTTTTTTTTCAGTTTGGCTGATATTTGGCATTTTTTAAATTATCGGCATCAGCCAATTTTTTTGTTTGGCCGATATTTGCAGTTATTTTATTATTGGCATTGGTTCGTTTTTTTTTTCTTTGGACGATATTCAACATATTTTAATTATCGGCATCGACAACAAATTTTTTTTTTCCTGTTTGGTTAAAAGTTGCCATTTTTAAATGATCAACATCTGCCAGGTTTTTTAGTTTGGCTGATATTTGGCTTTTTTTTCAATTATTGGCATCAACTAATATTATTTCTGTTTAGCCGATATTTGGCATTTTTTAATTATCAGCATCGGCCAGTCATTTTTCCAGTTTGTCCGATGTGTGGGAAGCGGGACTTTTATTTTGACGGCACTGAGAACGCCAGCACCACACACACTCAATGTTCCATTCGGTCCTCATTAGTTTACGATCTCTGTTTTCAGTTCTGAATGCTAATTATTACACAGAACTGTTAAACAAAGTAAATGGGACATGAAAGCTGCCATCATAGTGTTTGCTTTTTTCATTAATCAATCAATATATATATATATATATATATGTGTGTGTGTGTGTGCTCTGTAAGATATCTGCATGGGCCATCAGTGGAGCACTACTTCTCTGTTTGTTTGCAGGAAGAACAAGCGTCTGTTCGAAGCGTCGGCGCTGCGTTTGCTGCTGCAGGAGATGCACAGGACCAGCGGCCGCAGTCAAGCCTTCATCAGCATCAACCTCAGCTCCATCCTCCTCAATCTGGGCACGCTCACACGCTCCTGACACGCCAAGCACCTCATCACATACGTGCCTCCGTGCTCTGTCTGCAGTGCTGCAAGTCTGAGCTGCTGTTTCCACATCAAACCGCGTGCTGATTTTATACTAGCAAGCTCCCAAATGAGCAATGAGGAATCACAGCAGTATGAAACCTGTGTTTATAATCGGTGGAGAGGAAGATTATGAGTGAATAATAATCACACAAACTATAGACTGATGCTGTTGTGATGCTTCAATGGTGATTCTTGACATTTTTGGAGTTTAGCAGTATAAACCATCAGCAGAGAGCAGCTCGGAAGAAAGAAAACAATATGCCTTGAATCATTTGTAGCATAGTGCAATTTTATTTATTTTTTTGTATACATTGAAATAACGATTTTGATGTTTTATACTGCAAACAAGGACTCAATAAATGTAGTTTAATTAAATTGCCTCATTAGTGATGATGTGCCTGGCTTTATTTGATCATACACTCAAAACAGTATTTAGGCCTGAATTTAAGATATATTGGAATTGCGTCACATTATAAAGATTATAAACTTATATAATACATAAATGAAAACAGGTCGGATTTCTGTAATAGTACTAATAAACTGAATAAATGCACAATAATCATCTTTATATATTTATCACAAGTAAATCCAGGTTATGTAAATCTCATGCATTCTATCTAATTAAATATTTCTTATTCCACTGTAAACCGTGTAATCTGTGATATGCAATTCAAATGTTACATTTAGGATGAATATTTTTTTTTGTAAATGAACCATTTTTATTTGTTCCATCTCTGGCGTCGTCAAACACTATTGCAGTAATGACTGTTTTCAAACAGGTTTCCTGAACACATTCCCCCGTCCGTCATTGGTCAGTCAGCGAGTTAGTCCCGCCCTAATCTCACGTGATTGGTCGAGTCAGATCAACGCTCTGAAAGCATCAGTGATTCATTCTTCAGGAGTTCTCAGAGGAATGTTATTAGTGTTTTCTGACATTTATCTGTTTTTGTTGTCGTTGTCCGGATTAAAGCTTGAAAGCACCTGCGCTGAGGACCTCTGGTGGTTCTCCTGAGCCGGTCTTCTCTCTCCTGTCACATTGTTTAGCAGCACGATGAGTGTTTGCCGGAGCTGAATGAGCTCCAGGCCTGAGCGCACTCATGTTTAGTCCAGATCACACATGTTCCTGCTGTAATGGAGAAAAGCTCTGCTCGATGCTGTATCTCTCGGTTTGCCGCTGTGCTGGAGAGATCACGTGAGACTCCAGACAGAGAGTTTAAGATTGAGCTCTTGATTTCTGTTTGACTCATTCTCCATGCCGTCGTGATCTGCGTCATTTCTGCAGGACAAGCGTCACCAGACAGAGTTCCAGGAATAATGACCGTGTTCGGAGGGCTTTCAAGGCCTGGCTGGTTAGCATAGGTTGGTTAGTCCTTGCTGGTAACTACAGTTGAAGTGAAGCAGAGGTCAGGTCGTGCATTAGCTGAGATGAATGGGAACAGATATCAACAGACTGACTGACTGCACACACGTGGGATTTATAGAAACAGCACATTTTGCAAGTTCACAAATACTAGAGTTCAGATGCAGCACTGAGAACTAACACTGGAAATTAGAAAAATGTTACTAAATTTATATATATATATATATATATACACACACAAACTTACACACACATATATATATATTTTTTTTGTTGTTGTTAGAATAAAAGATGTCTTTTTGTGTGTGTTTTGTCATTTTTATTGTTTTATTATTTCTCTTTTCATCAATTTAATGAAAACACTGAATAATACTGTACATATATAATAGTTATAAATTATTTTTATACTATTTAATTTTTTATTAATAGTATATAAATTAGTTTTTGTTTTATTTTTCTATTTTCTATTTAAATTTTTGTGTTAAAATAAGTGTCCCCCCCCCCCCAATATGTCTATATAGTTTTTGTTATTTTATTATTATTTTAGTTTGAGTTATTTTAGAACATTACGTTAATTAAAATACTATACTAAATAAAAATTAGAAATATCTCCTGGGAATTTTCTGAATTAAAAATAAAAAATATATATGTATTTTTTTTAAATATATAATTTATATATAATAATTGTTCGCAGGTGCACGTGTTCTTAATGTGTTCATGAGAGATGAGATGGTACTTCAGTAATTTAGTCAGTCATGCTGAAGTGAGTGTTTTGTACTGATGTGTGGTTCTCAGTGACATATATCATGGTTTTATGCTGTTAAAGAAAGAAAGAATAAAATGGGCAAAAAATGCCAGTGCAGTGAACGTTTTATAGGCGCAGTATTGAGTTTCAGAGCATCTTTCATTGGTTTTAATAAGCAGCCCAGAGACGTGAAGTAGCTCTGATTCCCTCGCTGATCTGTCACAGGCTGATTTATTCCTTTTCATTAGTTCAAGCGTTTAAGTGTGTATGAACTCTGTTTCATAGAGACGCTGGTTTGTGTGATTGATACGTGTGGATTCTTGGCTGACCGTAACGCCAGTGGAAGTCATGTTTCAGGCCGTTTGTCCTCATTAAACATTTATTTACCTTTTAAAGTATTCGTGCTTCAGCAGTCGTGCCAGGCCAGTTCACCGTCCCTGACCGCTGTGTGGTTTGAGGCTGATTACAGGCCGGTTTGTGGTGTCAGACCTCAAAGAGTCACTTTGGTGAAGCAAGACTGATCTTGGCACTAAACAGTTAGTTCTGGGTCATTTGTGAGTTTTGACCGGTTTATGATGATGCGTGTCACTGAACTCTCAAATATGAACATAATGATTACATGAGCGAATGCAGATGAGCTCTTAGTGGACATTTATGCTCATTATGTTTCATTAGAAATGCATTGAACACATCTACATCTACTGAAATAATCAAAAATATAATTACTGTTTTTCTTTAGGCTGAATGTTTTGGAGAGAGACTGTCTCGGAGTTAATAGTTATTTTGCATTTTTAATCCAGGCCAATTAAATAATGAGAAGGTGTATTTTATTATTATTTTTTTTTTATCACTGCTGACATCACATCCAGTTCATTTGTTACACTGGAAACTGAAAATCAAAGTTAAATGCATTGCAGTGTGGGATAGAGTATGCCGTGCTAAGTAGTATATACTGCAGTGTATTAAGTCATCAAACTCCCATGCATAACAGTCACTTAGTGTGCAAAGCATGCAAATTAAATAGTGTGATCAGTCGGTATGCAGTTGTTAGTATGCAAATGTAAATGCAGCCAGAATCAGTGGGTAGTAGCACACTGTGTACGCAGTGCATTGCAGTGTGGGATAGCGTACCAGTGCAGCATGCTCAGTAGTATATACTGCAGTGCAGTGGGTCATCAAGAATGCATGCAAATAGTGTGCATAGCATGCATACTAAATAGTGTGATTAGTATGTTATTATGCAATTGTGAACACAGCCAGACTCAATGTAGGTAGCAGCACACTTTGTACCCATTGTAGTATGCAGTGCAGTGTGCATTGCAGTGTAAGATAAGAGTAGCCAGCGCAGAGTACATGCCTCCAGTGTAGTAGGTCATCAAGAACCAATGCAGAGCGTCCACATAGTGTGCACAGCATGCATACTAGCTAGTGTGATTAGTATGTTAGTATGCAATTGTGAACACAACCAGAATCAGTGTGAGTAGTAGCACACTGTATATGCAGTGCAGTGTGCATTACAGTTGGGATAGAGTACTAGTGCAGTGTGCATTACAGTGTGGGCTAGTGTTCCCATTGTAGTGTGCACTGCAGTGTGGATACAAGTCACCTTTATTTGTATAGCGCTTTATACAACACTGATTGTGTCAAAGCAGCAAAACAGCACCAGTGCAGTGTGCACTGTAGTATATACTGCGGTTATCAAGATTCATCCACGTAGTGTACACAGCAGGCATACTAAAAAGCGTGATTAGTATGTTAGTATGCAATTGTGAACACGGCCGGAAACAATGTGGGTAGTTGCACACTACATACGCAGTCCAGTGTGCATTACAGTGTAGGATACAGTACCCATTGTAGTGTGCACTGCAGTAAGGGATAGAGTACTAGTGTAGTGTGCTCTGTAGTGTATACTGCAGTTTAGTAGGTCATCAAGAACCCATGCAGAGCGTTCACATAGTGTGTACAGCATGCATACTAAATAGTGTGATTAATAAGTTAGTATGCAATTGTGGACACAAACAGAATCAATGTGGGTAGTAGTACACTGCATTTGCAGTGCAGTTTGCATTACAGAGTGGGATAGCGTACCCAGTGCAGTATGCTTAGTAGCATATACTGCAATGTAGTAGGTCATCAAGAATCCTTGCAGAACATCCATGTAGTGTACATAGCATGTATACTAAACAGTGTGATTAGTATGTTAGTACACAATTGTGAACACAGCCGAAATTGATGCGCATACGCAGTGCAGTGTGTATTGCAGTGTGGGATAGAGTACCCAGTGCAGTGTGCTCAGTGGTATATACTGCAGTGTAGTCGGTCATCAAGAACCCATGCAGAATGTCCACATACTGTTAGTATGCAATTGTGAACACAGCCAGAATCAATGTAGGTAGCAGCACACTTCATATGCAGTGCAGTATATACTGCAGTGTAGTAAGTCATTCAGGTACTAATGCAGAGCGTCCATATAGTGTGCAGAGCATGCTTACTAAATCGTGTGATTAGTATGATTAATATGCTAGTGTGTGATTGTGAACACAGCCAGAATCAATGTAGGTAGCAGCACACTTCGTATGCAGTGCAGTATATACTGCAGTGTATTAAGTCATTCAGGTACTAATGCAGAGCATCCATATAGTGTGCACAGCATGCATACTAAATCATGTGATTAGTATGATTAGTATGCTAGTGTGTGATTGTGAACACAGCCAGAATCAATGTAGGTAGCAGCACACTTCGTATGCAGTGCAGTATATACTGCAGTGTAGTAAGTCATTCAGGTACTAATGCAGAGTGTCCATATAGTGTGCACAGCATGCATACTAAATCATGTGATTAGTATGATAGTGTGTGATTGTGAACACAGCCAGAATCAATGTAGGTAGCAGCACACTTCGTATGCAGTGCAGTATATACTGCAGTGTATTAAGTCATTCAGGTACTAATGCAGAGCATCCATATAGTGTGCACAGCATGCATACTAAATCATGTGATTAGTATGATAGTGTGTGATTGTGAACACAGCCGGAATCAGTGTGCGCTGCAGGTGTTTGCTCACTGGATGCCAGCAGATTCAGCAAACACGCGTGAGTGTTTTTATCTCCACACTGAACGATTGTGCTCACTTTATTTTTTTTTAATGCACTTTGTTGTTATCTCTCGCACACTTGAGCGGAGGAAGTGTAAATCATGTCCCATGTCTGTCCAGTGATTGATGAGGCTGAAGGCAGACGGCAGGTCA